GTAGGGGTACTCACACTATCCTGTCAATGTGGTAGGTTGGTAGCTCCTTTCAAGCTTTTCACTGGGCTGGCTCCTTCCCTGTTGCTCAGGATGTCCTCCCCAGGAGACTTTGGGCAGTGGAGATCCTCCTGTCCAGCAACCAGCCTGTAGGTAGGCTCCCCTACCTGAGGCCCCCTCCTAGGCTCCACACTCCAGTCTTCTCTCAATTCATCTTCCACCTGACTCCCCTCTATCCCCAGGAACTGTCATATTTGAGGGTTGCCTGTCAGGCCCAGCGTCCTGCCAGGGGTTTGACCAGGGTCCCTGAAACATGCAGATCTGGGCCTCTGCCCCTCCTCAACCCCTCTTCCAGAAAGTTCTCTAGTTTCTGTAAAGGTGGGAGGGCTCCAGAAGCCCTGACCTGTAAAACCTTCCAGCTTGTGCTGAGGTGAACTCCGGCCTCACTCCCAGGCTGACTGGTCAGAGGCTGCTGCTCAGCCTCTATCTTACAAAATATCCTATCTAACTAACCTGGAGGAAATTACAATAGCAACTATATTTAAAAGATAATGTATAGTGTCTCTGTAAATATGTTTATTAGGTTCAAGATAAAAGGTAATATTAGAAATGTTTTTTAATTTGTTTGCCACAGCACATGTGAGATACTGGATATTAATATTTCAAATTCGCCTCTTGGTCAAATTTGACATTGTTACCAGGCTAACCTTAAAGTGACCTTGTCATCACATTAACTTTGCCAAAACAGACATACCTGCAAAATTAGAGAGTGAATACTTATCTTTCCGCCCCTTTCACACGGGGCGGACTCCATCAAGCGGATCCGCCTGCTCAGTAGGGGATCTGTCTGCTGATCCCTGCTGAGCAGACAGGTGACCTGTCCATGTCTGCTTTGCTTGTGCAGAATGGACAGGGACACAGCCTGCCCTTCCCTATGGAGTGGTCAGATGTAAATGGACCGCCTGTCAATTTACATCTGACTTGTTTGACAACTTCTGTCTTTCATGAATACATGCTGTCTGTTGCTTAAAATATTTTTTCCAGCAAGAATTCATCTATGTGGTCTTTTATTAAGCTCTCCAGTATCTTCCCAACTATAGAAGTTAAACTAACAGGTCTATAATTACTTGGTAAAGATTTTGATTGCTTTTTAAAAATAGGCACCACATTGGCCTTACACCAATCCAGTGGTACTATGCCAGTCATTAAAGAGTCCCTGAAAATTAGAAACAATGGCTTTGAAATGACAGAGCTCCATTCTTTAAGGATCCATGGGTGTATGCCATCTTGTCCAGGTGCTTTATTCACCTTTATTCTGTCTAAATATTTCTGGATCATATCAATTGTGAGCCAATGTGGATCATCTGGAGCTGTGTCAATACCAGGCCCATTATGGACAAGAGCTCCCCCATGCTCCTTTGTATACAGAGAGCTGAAGAAGGTATTTAATAAATTTGCATTCTCTTTGTTCCCAGTCACCCACTCTAGATTATTTTGTAAAGGGCCTACACTCTCAGACCTGACCTTTTCACTATTAATATATTTAAAGTAGTTTGGGGGGTTTGGATGCAGGAGCATATAGCACTAGTAGTTATAGACTTGGACAGTCTATGGGTGCACAGCTGAAGATCACACAGGAGTATTTAGCACTAGTAATTATAGACTTGTCAGTCTATGGGTGCACAGCTGAAGACCATGCATGAATATGTAGCATAGAGACTCTACTCATAAGGTCCTGGATGCAGCCCCTGCAGAAACCCAACATCCAGTCTAAAGGTGGTACAGGGGCAAACAGCCCCCTGAAGCTCACAGATCCACTCCCATTCTGGGAAAGACAATCTCTGCAGGGCTTCAGAGTATTTAACAGCAGCCTAATCACCATCTGGGCACAACCCCCCAGGGATTGACTAGGCCTTCACTAAGTCCTCCAAACATTTTTTTGTTTCTAGCTCTACACCTCTACACTTATCTGTGGATTTACATGTGGTGGTCTGTTCATAATGTGGGCAATATTAAGTCTGTTGGCTTTTGTTTCTTTATGTGATAGTATATTATGATTTTTGGTCTATACCTGTGCTCAAGATGATCAGGATTTTTTTTGTATTTTTAGCCCCTATCATGAGGGGTTCATCGTATCACGACTCGACTACTGCAACTCCCTCCTCACTGGCCTGCCTTGCCGCTGGCTATCCCCGCTTCAGTCGATCCTGAATACGGCTGCCAGACTCATTCACCTTTCCAACCGCTCCGTTTCCGCCACCCCCCTCTGCCAATCCCTCCACTGGCTTCCGATTGTGCAACGGATCAAATTCAAAATCCTAACATTGACGTACAAAGCCGTCCACCATACTGCCCCGAACTACATCACTGACCTAATATCCAAGTACTGCCCAGCACGCACACTCCGCTCCTCATAAGACCTCCTTCTCTCTAGTTCCCTGGTCTCCTCCTCCCATGCCCGCCTCCAGGACTTCTCCAGGGTGTCACCCATCCTCTGGAACTCCCTGCCCCAACCCATCAGATTATCACCTACTCTCCTCTCCTTTAGGCGCACCCTGAAAACCCATCTCTTCAGGGAAGCCTACCCTACCCCCTGCTAACTTGACCGACCTCCTCCACTCTTCTACCACTCCATCCCCCACAGCTATCTCCTCCTGTACCACTATCCCCTCCCTCCTAGATTGTAAGCTCCAAAGAGCAGGGCCCTCAATACCCTCATGTTTTGCATTGTATTGGTATTGTTCTGTCACATGTTCTGTCCCCCTTTGTAATATACAGCGCTGAGCGAACTATTGGCGCTTTATAAATACTGTATAATAATAATAATAATGAGGGGCAGAGATGTCCTGGCTCCGCCTATGGGCTGGGGGGTAGGGGCAGTTGGTGGCCCTTGGTTATTTAAGGGCAGACAGGGCACTAGGTTGGTACAGCTCTGAGGAAGGAAGCATGACTACCGAAACTCGTTAGCTTTCCGACCAGATGATCCATAGATGGAATGCATTGTCCAAAGTTGAAACAATGATGTTACATGCCTTCTGTATTTAATTGCTTGTGAGAACCCATTTGTCTCTTAAAGATTGAATAAATTTTATGGTGGTAATGCACGAGGAGTTTGCGCCCTCCTGTGTGTGTTTTTTACAATTGGCTAAGCCCTACTGAATATCCAGGCAGTACATCCAAATTCTCTCACCCTAAGCTCTAGAACAGCGGTTCTCAACCTGGGGGTCGCGACCCCTTTGGGGGTCGAACGACTCTTTCACAGGGGTCGCCTAAGACCATCGGAAAACACATATTTCCGATGGCCTTAGGAACTGAGACACCGCTCCTCTATCCGTCTCCAGGTGTGGGCGGGAAGACATAAATAAAAATGCAATTGGCGCAAGAGAATTTGTAGTGGACATAACGTTCACTCAGCAAACCTTAAACAAAATAATCCAGTAAACAGAAATTAAGATATATAATCGTACATGCCAGTAATAAAGGGGCAACAACAAGTAGATGATGCAGCTTTAGTGGTGAGGAAAGGGAAGGGGGGAGGGGAGGGGGGTAGGGAAAGGAGGGGAAAAAAGGCCTTGTGATGCAAACAGTACTGGATTGAGATAGATGGTATATATATGTGTATACATATATATACAACGCTGCAATGTAGACACCGTCGTGAGGCTTGCACTTTCTAGAGTAAACCGGACTCTGTGGTAAATGGAGAAGAAAGAGAAGTGCGCCAGACTAAGTGCAGTATGAATATAAAAGTTTATTGCACACAAGATTATAAAAACTCACAAGACGTGGGTAGATATCAGGCATCAATATATAAGGAGGAGGATGTCATCTGTGCTGCACCTCACAAATGGATGGCTGTAATGTCAAGGTGTTGCGTGGCTGGCGCTCTAGGCGTGTCCCACAGGAGGAAGCGAGGATGGCAGGCGCAGTAACCGGGAGTCGCGGCGCAGATAAGAACCGGGATCCAGAGCAGGCACTGATGAAAAGGCAGGTTGCCTAGAAACGTGTCACCGCCCCCTTGGAGGATTCCCAGCAACGTTCTGATGTCATTTCCTGCCCGCTGGCCATCTTGGATGTGCCTCAAGCTGGCTACTGTACCCACGCTGATGTGAGAGATCAGCAGTGCCTGCTCTGGATCCCGGTTCTTATCTGCGCCGCGACTCCCGGTTACTGCGCCTGCCATCCTCGCTTCCTCCTATAGCTCAGGAGAGGCACACAGGCGGCCAATCACCGGCGAGGAGGTGGAGCTTGGAGAGGAGGAGCCAAGCGGCACCAGGAAGATCGAGCGAGTGAAGAGGAGGAGAGCGGCTGGAGAAGGAAGACATCTGACCGGTAAGTGTCTGTACCATGGGAGAGGGAGGGAGGGAGCGAGCCCAGGCTGGAGCAGGGGTCAGCAAGGTAAGTATCATTGGTGTCAGTGGGAGGAATAGTCCCCTATCATTGGTGTCACTAATACCAATGATGGGGCACTATTCCTCCCCCCACTGACACCAACGATGGGGCACTATTCCTCCCCCCACTGACACCAACGATAGGGCACTATTCCTCCCCCCACTGACACCAACGATGGGGCACTATGACACCAACGATGTAGGGCACTATTCCTCCCCCCACTGACACCAACGATGGGGCACTATTCCTCCCCCCACTGACACCAACGATGGGGCACTATTCCTCCCCCCACTGACACCAACGATGGGCACTATTCCTATTCCTCCCCCCACTGACACCAACGATGGGGCACTATTCCTCCCCCCACTGACACCAACGATGGGGCACTATTCCTCCCCCCACTGACACCAACGATGGGGCACTATTTTCCTCCCACCCAACGATGGGGACTATTCCTCCCCACTGACACCAACGTTGGGGCACTATTCCTCCCACTGACACCAATAATGGGGGCACTATTCCTGCCACTGATACCAATGATGGGGCACTATTCCTCCCACTGATACCAATAATGGGGCACTTTTCCTCCCACTGACATCAGTGATGGGGCACTATTCCTCCCACTGACACCAGTGATGGGGCACTATTCCTCCCACTGACACCAATGATGGGGCACTATTCCTCCCACTGACACCAATGATGGGGCACTATTACTCCCCACTGACACCAATGATGGGGCACTATTACTCCCACTGACACCAATGATGGGGCACTATTCCCCCCACTGACACCTATGATGGGGCACTATTCCTCCCACTGACACCAATGATGGGGCACTATTCCTCCCACTGACACCAATGATGGGGCACTATTCCTCCCACTGACACCAATGATGGGGCACTATTCCCCCCACTGACACCTATGATGGGGCACTATTCCCCCCACTGACACCAATGATGGGGCACTATTCCTCCCACTGACACCAGTGTTGGGGCACTATTCCTCCCACTGACACCAGTGATGGGACACTATTCCTCCCACTGACACCAGTGATGGGACACTATTCCTCCCACTGACACCAGTGATGGGGCACTATTCCTCCCACTGACACCAATGATGGGGCACTATTCCCCCACTGACACCAATGATGGTTTCACTATTACTCCCACTGACACTAATGATGGGGCACTATTTACTCCCACTGACACCAATGATGGGGCACTATTCCTCCCACTGACACAGTGATGGGACACTATTCCTCCCACTGACACCAGTGATGGGGCACTATTCCTCCCACTGACACCAATGATGGGGCACTATTCCCTCCCACTGACACCAATGATGGGGCACTGACACCATTCTATTCCCACTGACACCAATGATGGGGCACTATTCCTCCCACTGACACCAATGATGGGGCACTATTCCCCCCACTGACACCAATGATGGGGCACTATTCCCCCCACCACTGACACCAATGATGGGGCACTATTCCTCCCACTGACACCAATGATGGGGCACTATTTCCTCCCACTGACACCAATGATGGGGCACTATTCCTCCCACTGACACCAATGATGGGCACACTATTCCTCCACTGACACCAATGATGGGGCACTATTCCTCTCACTGACACCAATGATGGGGCACTATTCCTCCCACTGACACCAATGATGGGGGCACCTATTCCTCCCACTGACACCAATGATGGGGCACTATTCCTCCCACTGACACCAATGATGGGGCACTATTCCTCCCACTGACACCAATGATGGGGCACTATTCCTCCCACTGACACAAATGATGGGGCACTATTCCTCCCACTGATACCAATGATGGGGCACTATTCCTCCCACTGACACCAATGATGGGACACCATTGCTACCACTGACACTAATGATGGGGCACTATTCCTACCACTGATACCAATGATGGGGTACTATTCCTCCCATTGACATCAGTGATGGGACACTATTCCTCCCACTGACACCAATGACGTGGCACTACTCCTCCCACTGCAAAATTACAGTTATGAAGTAGCAACGAAAATAATTTTATGGTTGGGGGTCACCACAACATGAGGAACTGTATTAAGGGGTCGCGGCATTAGAAAGGTTGAGAACCACTGCTCTAGAAGCATTTCCCAGGGGCAGGGGGAAGAAATCAAACTCTCACCCTGTGAAGCTCTGAACAGACCAAACTAAACAATCACTGCTCCTTTGATTACAGCAGATGACAAAAACTAAATGTACCTAGCAGCCTAGCTAGGAGGATGACACACCAGGATACATATGACTAAAAACTCATATAAGCTTAAATCTGAGCAACCTAAGACCCATCTCCTTACTCCCTTTTGTCTCCAAACTCCTTGAACGTCTAGTCTACAACCGACTGAGCTGTCATCTTACTGAGAATAACCTTCTCGATCCCCTTCAGTCTAGATTTCGCCCACAACACTCCACAGAAACTGCTCTCCTAAAACTCACAAACGACTTGCTAACCGCTAAAACCAATGGTCACTATTCTGTACTCTTGCTCTTGGACCTCTCCGCTGCCTTTGACACAGTTGACCACCCCTCCTCCTAAAAAAAACTCTATTTACTTGGTCTCCGTTGGTTCGAATCTTACCTATCTCACCGCCCCTTCAGTGTCAATTACAACTCTACCTCCTCCTCTCCTAATCCTCTTATTGTCGGGGTCCCCCAAGGTTCTGTCTTTGGACCTCTCCTATTCTCGATCTACACTTCTTCCCTGGGTCAGCTGATAACTTCCCATGGTTTCCAATACCATTTCTATGCTGATGACACACAAATCTATCTCTCTACTCCTCACGTATTACCAATTTACTAACAGACATATCAGACTGGATATCACGTCACTTCCTAAAACTCAATCTATCCAAAACTGAGCTCATAGCATTTCCTCCCTCACGTGCCTCTTCCCCTGATTTCTGAATCAATAGTTTTTTCTGGATCAATAGCTTTACTATCAACCCATCCCTGCATGCCAGAGTGCTAGTGGGAACCCTGGATTCTGAACTATCCTTTCAGGCCCACATCCAATCCATCCAAATCATCAGAGAGCGGTGCCTGTCAGTCAGAGCGGCTCACTGAGAGGCTGAGCCAGATGCCACTCCAGACTCTGACTTTAAAGTCGGGATCTTTTGCCAGCGTGGACCAGCCAACAGCGGGCTTCAGTCGATTTCAGCTGAAAACGATTCATTGGAGTGAAGAACAAACTGCACTCCTGTGATCCACAAGAGAAGTACAGCCAAAGAAGCGTTGACTGTACTTCTTTTTTAACTAATTGGCTGGAGTGCAACAAAAAACAAATACATCACGTAAAGAATAATAATTTAATACATGATAGAAGGAGTGTATGTTTTTATCTCTTCCCATGAATCACACAGAGAGCAAAGATTCAGCCACAAGACATCCGTATAATGTGAACAATTAACCCACTGATACCATGATATTATGCAATAATCTCATGACACAGCATTTGGGATTATAAAAATACTCGTAATATTTGCACAGCACACAATGTTGCTCTTCTGAACTTCCGCTCTCCTGCAGGAACTATTCTAAAATATGTACTGCTATTAGGAGCGGTTTTCAGATCTGTATTTTACTATAATGGCATTTGTCTGCCATTGCCTAGAGCAGCCTTTCTCAACCAGGGTGCACAGGCACTCTGGGTGCCTTGGCAAAATGTCTAAATGCTGCCCAAAACTTGTATACAAGCCAATAGGTGGATAAAGCCTGCCTTTTAGTTACACAAAGCCACGGGTTTTCATTGTGCACCATTAAGACCTTCTAGCCACTGGCATCCTGACAACTAATGGCATAATCAGTTGATAAGGAGGATGTCAGCTGCCTACAAACCATCCTACTTTGACTCTCCCCTGCCCCTCTCTGTCAGTGCTGGTTCAGATTAGTTCAGTAATGGAGAAAAACTGAGGGTGAAGAGAAACACTGGAATACTAGTCAGTACCAATGTGCAAAAGTGTATTTGCTTGGAAGAGAAAATCAAACCCACAACAGTAAAATCAGTCTGTATATGCAGTAAAGCATGCTTGTTATACTCACTGTGGAACCCAAGGGGTTAATCCTCTGCATTGTGTAAAAAGGATGTTTGATATTGTCTTCTCTGATATTCCCCTTCTTCTACTGTCCCCAATCCATCTGCTGATAGAAAAGTCTTGGGGCAAGCTGCACATGCTCAGTGTGATGTGTATTGCTCAAGTTTTTTTTTTTTCTTGGGAAAGTGCATGTGATCAACACAGGGCCAATCAGCACTGTCCAGACAGAGGGTAAGAGGTCCTGCAGCCTCGCAGGACATTCAGAGAGAATGAAAACGCCTCCTACAGGCTTTAACCAGTGCTCTGCTGGACACTGATGGAAGTCACAAGACTGCTATATACTGCTGATGAGAAAAGGTATTTAGCAGTTTATATTTACTAAAATAATTGTATTTCCATGTTCTGTGTAGGGTGGGAGACTAGATATAGTGAATGCAGGGTCTTGGGTTTAGCAACACTTTAAGGGGGGTGGAGGAGCTCACATTATGAGGATTACAGTTATTCAGGATATGAGGATATGATTACAAAGTACAAATATATCAAAGGTGACTACAGTAAAACTGTTTTCTTTAAGGGCCTTTAAAAAGATTCCTGATCATGATTTGAGGTTAGAAGAAAGAATGGTTCTTTACTGTCAGAGCAGTGAAAATATGAAACTCCCTCTCCAGGATGTGGCACTAGCTGAGAATGCTGACTACTCAAAAAAAACCTTTCAATGTATTCATCAGGAATATACAGGGCTATAGGAATTGTTAGAGAATAAAAATCACACATGCATACTATAGGTTGAACTGGAGGGACCTGTATCTTTTTTTCAACTTTATAAACTATGTATTGTCTGTATCTGTTACTGTTTTGAGATTGTTTAAATCTGTCACTCTGTGTAACTGTAAATTTTGGTACATTTATAAGAAACAACATATCCCTTGTAATAAATTTGTACACTTATTCCATGTACATTATTTTGAAATATTAAAGCAAGAGGGCTCATATGGCAATGTTTTAAAAATGAAAGGAACTTTTACAATTTCAGCATAAAATAAAATTCCCACAGAGGGCAGGATGGACCCTGCCAAGAAATTTTACATTTTTCCAATTGGGAAACCGTTGCAGAAAAATTAAGTTTTTATTATTAGTAAGCCAATACAAAAATTCATACAGATGACAGGATGGCCCTGACACCAAATACTGCATTTTGTACAACTGGGAAAAATTATAATTACTGCTACAATGGACTACAACAATGGGAGTGGTATGAGATGGCAATAGTGGCAAGACTACAGCGATAGCAGAAGATGGTTAAGCAGCAACTCAGCCATGGTATAAAGAAGTGTAAATTAGTGGCAGGGTCTGTTCATGTGGTCAGGAGATGGCAATGATGACGGGAGTTGGTATTATTTACAGAGCTGAAGGATGGAGAGGCTTTAGGATGTACACTAAAAACAATTTTTTTATTTTTTTTTGGGGGGGTGGGAAGGCAGAATCAAACACAAATGTGGCATCTGCAGCAAAGGCTTGATAGTTGTCGCTTATCCAGGACCTCAGCCAGTCAGCTGGCTGACTATTTTCTGTAACAAAGCCCCTGCAGTCCTAAATGTACATTTAGAAAGCATGCTGGCTGCAAGTCAGCCCACTGGCTTGACTGCATACTGGCCACGTTATGGTCAGTGGTCTCTCCTTGTTACTCAGTAGTTGAGGGCATCATTTGTTCTGAGGGTTTCAACATCTGCCCTTGACCCCATGTCATCTGCCACCATATGATTCAGCCCCTGCCTATAGCTGCTGGCTGCAGAGAGCCCTGCCACAGGCTAAGGAAGCCAAGTCCTTGGGGTTCCTGAGGACAGCATTGTCCTCAGTTATCTCCCCTCAACTATGTTTTGCACCCAGGGCTTGTGAGGGATGAAACTCACTCTTGAAAACCTGCCCCATTTCCTCCTCCTCTACAATGCCACCATTGCAGCCATACTTTTCTTCCTCCTCATGCTCCTCTTGGGCCTACTGTTGCCTCACAAGGACAGAGTCTGGTTAGAACAGGCCCCCAAGCCCTGAGACATAAGGAAGTACTTCGCCGCCTCCTGCTGCTGTGCCTCAAGTGCTCAGTCTATTATTCCCTGCAGTGTGTGCTCCAGCAAGAACATTACAGGAATGATGTCGCTTTTGCATGTATGATGTCGA